ATGAAGCTTCACAATGCAGATCTCATTGGTGCTCCATGTTTACAATTTCAGAACTGAATCAGTTGAGTGGTGTGTGTGCTCTTTTACGATTCCCACTTCCAGAGATCTCAGATGAAGAAGGTTCTAGTTCAGATGAAGATTAAATTCAGCTTCTTAGATTACCAGTAATGTGTGATAAACTTTACACTAATTTAATTATTTTGCATACATACTGATGAAAGTATTGTTACACATACTTGGCATGAAAACCATGTGTCATGTGCAGGTAATAGTTTTTGTTGCATTGCTATCAAATCTATATCTGAGACAAAAAGAAAAATTGTAATCGTTTATTTTGATAGAATGTGCTGCAATATCATTTTAATAATTATAATACTATGTTCGCAAGTCAAAAAAAGCTGTGAACATTTCCTTATTAGTATTTTTAAGGATTGTGCAATACAGTTTCATTTTGGATTCCTTTCATCAAATGTATCACAGTGTAAAACCATAGAAAATTCTATTGTATTCAGAAGACGTTTGAAATATAACTTGAATGCAGCTTCTACATCACAAATTTTTGTAAGTGGATGCAGAAAATGAATTCCATTATTTATAAGAGAATGTTCTTTTTGTCCCCACTCCCTCATTGTCCTGATACATGTATATTTAAATGTGCTGTATTGTTTTAATTTTTTTTTTAAGAGAAGTGAAAGATTTGTCTAAGCGAATATATTGTATGAAATGTCCTCTTCCCTGTATACACAGACCCTTTGCAACCACTGGTATATTGATGTTTAAAATAAAACATCTTCATAGCCTTAAAAACTATTTTTTGTTCTTAATTGATTGTATATGCATGCATTCCCCCTAATTGCAACAGAGACTTGCATTAACAATTGCATCAATAATATAACTAAATCCCCAATAGCTCAGTTGTTTGAAGCACTATAATTGCCGTTGTTGAGATGGCAACCAGTCTCATCTGGTCAACATAAAACCAATGTAGGTTTTCAAGTAGACTGTCAACAGTCCTCAGGCCTAATGTAATTGTGTATCCTAGAAATTCAAATGCCGAAGGCGTTTGATGTTTGATGGGAAATGCAAAGCATTTCAGACAAGGGACATTAGTCCCAAAAGACTATCCCCGTCTTTTAGTTGATATGAATAATTCATAGTTGATGCTGACGTCACAAAATAAATTATATTACCATTATGTATACAATTTGTTCTAAATGGCTGACCTCCTGAATGTGTTGGTTATGAACACAATGAATAGTTACTCCAACCAAAATAACAAAGAAAACAACGTGCATTCGTTTGTGGCAGTCAAATAAAAAACCAGAGATTTTTGCGGGATCAAAAGAACTATGACATGCGAAGAAATCAAATTTGTCGTGGCAGAGATGATCGATCTACATCTTGCCAGCTCGTATGCATGCAGAAAATGTGGACTGAGAGCGTCGACTCTGCATAAAAACATGGATGAGTTCAGGAAGAAATTCAACAAACTAAGCGAGAGTTATTGGAAAAGTCGCAGAGAACGGCAAATGGATCCCTGGTTTCGAAATGAGTTCTTTTTGACAAGACGAATGTCAACACAACACACTAACCCCCCCCCCCCCCCCTCTGTGTAGTTTGCGATAGTGTCTTGCTAGTATTCATTGTAAGAAATATCATGGTAGTCTAAACATTCCAGCACTTTTATAATGCATTCGTCAAGATTTGTTTGTGTCATGATTTCAAAAACTGCTGTGGAAAGTGTCCCGATTGCGTATAGTACAGTACAGTCAAAACAAACTTCGTGTAAGTCGTTAGCGATCCTGGTATCCAGCGACCCCTGACCTTTTTCACGATTGGCCATAATAAAATGACATCTTCGCGACTATTTCATTTTCACATGAAAGTATCGGACCTGGTAGGAAATCTTACCAGTGAATTGCAGCCCAAGACAGACAGTCGGCCGTGCCTAACGGCATTCCATACTTCCTGTCCGATGTTTGCAGTTTATTCACACATACTACATTTATACACAATATTTATTAATAATAACAGAGTAATATTATGTACGACAGTCTAGTTTTCAAGTCTTGCATCCAGAGTTTTGTTTTGTGTTTGCTTTGTTGTTACAACATTCAGCTATATTTCTTAATATTGATTGTTGACCATATCTGATGTGCAATGAATATCTTTTCCTAGATGTGAGGAATGCATCCTTTTTTAACAGTTCATGATTATCTTCATATGAAGTGTTGTAGGTTTCTAATTGTTTCTCCACCATTGTATAAATTAATTGTTGCCATGTGTCAGGAGCTTGCCTCAAGTCATCTGCATAGAAACAATGAACAAAAAGATTAATTTTTTTTTCTTTGTTGAAAACTTGAAATCAAAATTTACGTTTCAAATTGTGTCTGTATTGTTTACCAAGACATGAAGAAGGGAACTTTGTGATCATTTAACTACCTTTTGACAGTGTTGCAATGGCTAATTCATCTTCATCATCACTCTCATCAATTAAGTCTTTTTTTAATGTTTTAAATTCTTTGTTATCAGACAATAGGACCTGAAATTTAAATATAACAAAAATAATGCCATTATGAAATCTTTGCAACATTGTATCTTGTTGCATTATTAGTTAGCAACTTAGTGTATCATGTTTATTATTCTATGAATACAGACCTTTATTATAGCCATCATATGTAAGCCATGTATACCATGTCTGTCTATAGATATCTTATCACTGTCTTCCACTATTTCCTGTCGTTTTAACCATTTCCATTTTTTCTCAATATTGTTAAAGTGACCTATGGTTTTTGCTGATTCATACATCAAAGATATGTCAACTTCAACCTAACAGCAAAAAACAACTTATTTTAAAACAAGTTATTTCATAACATGAAATAATCCCCATTGTAAAATCAGATATCTACAAAACAAAATGATGCTCAATGCATGCAATTAAGTTTGGCAATCAAAACAGACAGACAGACAGATGAAGGCCAATCCATAAATCCTTTGAACTGTAATCAAATGGTGACTTACAAAGTGTAATTGCTGTACTTGAAAAAACGGCATATAACTATAATTGAATGCATATCCAAATCCAGTCCTAACCTTTTCTAGTCCTCGTTTTTTAGTCTGTGCATTCATGTGTGTGTGTGCATGCATTTGTCTGGAGCTGTATCTCGGACACCCTTGGCTCAATTCACTTCAAACCTCACACATACACAAATGCAGTAATTTTGTGATTCAGTCAAAGATGGCTGAATGACAGACATTTTAGTCATGAAAATGGATCAAATTAAATTAGATATTTTGACATGATCTCTGGCATGTGTTGTCTGATTTTCTTTGGTCAAAAAATTAACCATTATGGTTAGCTGATGCATGTAACATTCAATTCAATTTAAGATGGCCAACTGGTGGCCATTTTGTTTTTGACAAATTGTATGTTAGACATATATCTCATACATGCTTTGAGCAATTCACTTCAAACTTCATCACATATATATGCACATACAAAAATGATCAAAAATGTCCAAATGCTGACCAATTTTGTTGTAAAAAAGCATTAAAATTAGCTAAATTGACATGTTCAGAACCAGATCTTGGGTACGTCCTAATTGATTTTCTTCAAACTAGTGTAATCATTAACCATTGTGGATAATTGATGCATGTCACTT